ACAGATTTTTTCCCAAATGCAAAAACGAGAGAAAAAGAGACCAGAGAGAGAGAAAAGAGGGGTAAGAGAGAGTGTACGTGGATATGTATGGGGAGGTATGAGTTGTGTATGAGACTGTGGGGGGGGATCCCGAGCACCAAAAGGCCAAGGTTGTAGAGGTTTTTGAACGGTGAACCAAAAACTCGCGAGTAGGAGCTCCAACCGGGGACGCACGCGCGAGCCCAGTAACCCATCAAAGATTTGACAAGTTACAATAGCACCGCTAGAAGGAAATTGTACGGGCTCATCGAGCAGATGAGCAGTGGACGTCCAGCCTTTTTTGAGCAGAAATAAAGAGCCGATTAAAACAACAGTAAAGACGGTGGGGCGGTATAAAGGATCGAAGAGTGTGTGTGTGTGAAACACCCAATAGATGGGGTGCTAGAGGGTATTTCGTAACAGAGTTGAACCGGAACTGAGAGACGTAAAGACCGAGCATGAACCGAGTGTGACCGAGCGTGAACCTAGAAAGAACTAGATAGGGGCACTCAAGGCATGACTTCGTCGCAGTAGGGAAGGTCTTCATTCTCTTCCGATCCATCGTCGGGGACGGGGACCCACTCGATCGTATCCTCATCACTCCCGTCAAAGAAACCTTGCGGGATGGGTGGGGCAATCACCGTCTGGGCGACGCAGAGGACCTCACCGGTGTAAATGTTGGAGCAGTCGCTCTCGATCTGGGGGTTGTTGAGCATGAGAATCGTAGAGTTGAGCCCATAGGTCGCTCCGATCGAACCACACGAATCATTGTTCTCAACGACGTGACTGAACGGATTGTTAGTAATAAGTTTTTTTAGAGCAGTGTGGGATACATACACTTGTGTACAATCTTCTCCGGGTGTGCCAAGGCCTAACGGAGGGTGTCAGTCCCGTACAGAGAGAATCCGGAATCCGGCGCAGCCACCACGTATCCACCGCCCAACCGCCTTCCAAAAACAGTCAAAAATAAACAAATACTCACAGATAGTAGAACCAGGTTGGAGGTTTCCGCAGACGGCGTCAATGGATTCGGAATTGACGGCGGCGAGCTGGTAGGTCGAGACATTGTGCGCGCGCGAAATGCCATCGCAGATATCTCCCTCGACGATCGTGTACGTGCGTGTGCAATTGGTATCAGCAGCCAGTACCGCTGTTAAAAAAAAGAACAGAAGCGTCAGCGTTCGTTGTCATTCGGGAAGCAGATTTGATGGGATTGCAAAGTTTGGGCCTTTCCACGCCACTTTTGGAAACCGGGCCCGGAAGGAAATATTGGATGCGAGAGGGGAATGGCCGACGTACGGGAAACAAGGAAAAGAGCAGCAACAGCGGCAGCAGAAATGGTAGCAAGCTTGGAGAACATGATGAATGTTTTCTCTTGTTGTCAAATGCGCTCGGCGATCAAAGGTAGCAGTAGTAGTAGTTGGTTTGGGTCTGAACTGGTCTTGGGCTCTGTGAGCTGTCGGACGAAAGAACGTAAAAGAATGTCTGGTTGACAAGCTTTGAAGGGAATGGAACGTTCAGAGACAGAAAGGAGAGACTGCCTTTGAGGATGGGAGGGGAGAGAGAGACACGGGAGGGTTCAACGTTAGCTGAGACAGTGGCAACCGGTGGACTAGAAATATCCAGGCCCAAGAGACGCAACGCGAGTGGCCGCAGAAAGCCAAGCCGCATCCAATCACATCCCGCTCCCTCCACGTGCTTCCCCCTTTACTCGGCGCTTGGGCTTCGACTTCTCCCCTGCTTTTCCGAGATT